ATATATATTTGTGAAGAAGATAATTTTTTAATCATATTTATTAGTGTGGTAATTATAATATATCATTCTCAAATTTTTTCTATAGTTTACTTCTTAGAGTAGACATTGTGAAACATCAAGCTGAATTAAACTATAATTTCGTTTGCGATAGCTTTCTTGCTGTTTTTTAAAGCCGCTTTTTAGTTCAACGAATTTTCGAAATAAAAAACTGCTTGAGAAAGCAGTAAGAAAGCCGTCCCAAACAAAATCTATATTAAAAAATAAGAAGGAATTAGATAAAACATAATGCACAAAAATATAAAAAATAATAAATCAATATTGAGAAGTACATCTATGAGCTGTTGGTCCTACTTGATGATTAGATGGTTAATCTCTATTGTATTGTTATTGCATGCTGGTTGTAAGGCTTATTTGTCACTCATTGCGACGTTGATTTTGGCTCTGAACTTGCTTAAGCCGTCTTCAACAGGTGGTTTAGTGATCATTTTCACCTTTACAATTTGTCTTATAGTTTTTTATCTCAATTTGATCGAACTTTTTCACTCAATTCAGTTTAGGTTGGAGGCCTTATCATTCCACATTATTAGACAACTCATTCATCATGAAAGATGGTGAATTGTTTCGATCAAAATCTGATATCTGTCCCTACATTTCAAATATTTCTCAATAACTTTAGATTTTGAGTATTTTATTTTTCCTTTTAACTATCTTTTTATCCTTTCATTTAACTATTCCGGGGGCGGGGCAACTTCTACGGTTGCAGCTACATGCTCAAGATCACAGAGAGATTCTTAATGTTGTGGAAAATAGCATAAGTAGATGGTTTTGGTGCATAGGTGAAAGTGTATAGGACAAAGAGGTTGGTAGTGAGGACAGAGGCGAGCATGACGAGGTGGAGAGCAGATGAGCACAAAGTGGCAAGCTCGAATCGGGCGGTGTTGTCGCCAATCTTAAGGGAAACTGATCTCATCACCAGCGGCTTCGACATCGGTTATTAGAAGAGTATCACCGGTCACCTATTGTCGCCACTCGCCAGCGACTGTTTTCCTTCAAATGGAAGAATGGAGGGACACAAAGAGCTCCAAATACGCCCCTAAGTAAGAATATTTTAACTAAAAATTAATTATGATATTTTTTAAAAAAAAACAAATATTTTATTTTGAGATAATGAATTATACTTATCTTAAAATTAAATTATTTATCAAAATAAATCTTAAAATCATTAAATTTATTTTGAAATTAGTATAATATTTAAGAATATTCTAACTAAAAATTAATTATGATGTTTTTTTTAAAAAAATAATTTTATTTTGAGATAATTAATTGTACTTATCTTAAAATTAATTGATACGTTATCATAAAATTATCTTGATCGGGCACGAATCTCGATGCAAAATCAAGCCGGAAACTTCAAAAAATTAAATCTGGGATAATCTGAACATCAATTTTGGCAAACTTATAGTCAAACTGATCGTCTCGGAAATACGAACCCAACGACACCAAAATCGACTCAATCTAAGCCCAAATGAGTCCAAATCAAGGACCCGAAGCGATATTGGAAGGTTCAAACCACAATTTGAGTTACCAAACAGTTTCCAAACAAAATGTTCTTATAGTCGAATCGAGCGGCTCGACGAGACGAATTCAACGAGCCCAAGATCACAAAATTCCGACATCTTTAAGACCTTCAAATGTCTGACGAACAGTCCACGATCAAAGGATTCAATATCGGCAGTCCATTCAAACCACTCCAGATTCGCCCATGATCTCTCACCTATTTACGGGTCATGCCACTGCATAAATCTATAAATAGGCCCCTCATTTCTCATGAGAAGGGCCCCCCAAGCCAGGGCCCAAGCAAGAAGAAGAAGAAGAAGAAGAAGAGAAGGATAGGAGGGAAGAAACTCCTCCTCGACCACCGCCGCCGGAATTCTGCCCGACACCAGAATTTTGCTCGACGTTCAAGTGCCATTGGAGTTTCACCCGAACTCCAAGTGACGCCGGAATTTTGCCCTACCTCTAAGTGACGCCGGAATTCTGTCCAACCTCCAATTGACGTCGGAGTTCTGCCTGAATACCATCTCATGCTAGAATTCTCCTCGTCCTCCAACTGGCGTCAGACTTTTTCCCGACATCGGACCTCCGCTCGTTGCCAAGTTTCTACCCGACGCTGGACTTATGCCTGTTGTCGGACTTTCATCGGACATCTGTCCGATGCTGGATTTCTCTCCATTACTGGATGTCTACCTGACGTCGTCTTTCTAACCTCTATTGCCCGCCGACAAAGGTCATTCTTACTAACGTCGCTTACCAAATACAATCCATCTGGCCTCGGTTGCCCGCCAACAACGATCCTTCTTACTAACGTCGCTCGCCGACTACAGTCCTTCTGGCCTCCATCACCCGCCGACAATGGTCCTTCTGACTAACGTCGCCCGCCGACTACAGTCCTTCCGACCTCCGTCGCCCGCAGACTATGGTCCTTCAGACTTACGTTGCCTGTCGACTACAGTCCTTCCGACCTCCATTGCCCGCCGACTACGATCCTTCCGACTTACGTCGCACACCGACTACAACCCTTCAGAACAAACAAACACATCAACATTGATGCTTTGTATTCTCACCATGTAATGTACTCTATAAGATGTACATCAAGCTAAGGCCTTCCCTTGGGGAAGGACCTCATTTGTAATCAACTACAATACTAGTGGATTCATTTATACTGGGCTAGGCCCCCATGATTTTTCCCCCCTATTCAAGGGTTTTCCACGTAAAAATATTATTGTCTCTAGTGGATGACAACCCTCTCTCATATCTGATTGCGTGTTGGATTTTCATACAACGCAAAGACGTTAAAATTTATATTTCTCTACCGCCGCGAATACTCCTGGACGCAACAAAGTTATTATCAAAATAAATCTTAAAATTTATTTTGAAATTAGTATTATATATATTCGTCGTCTTAAAATGAATTGAATTATTATAAAGCTCATTCTCAACCATTTCTCCTTTTTAAACTCTTATAAATTCATTTTGATCTAAATAAATAAATAAATTTTTATAATTTTTTTAGAATCGTTAAAGTAAAACATATTCAATATGAACTTTATATAACAAATATGTTGTATATCACAACTGTATATGTTATAACCCGGTAAAGTACTCCGCCTTTACAAATTTCCCCTTCTACCAGTCCACTGATCCACTTATGTTTTTTGAATCATTTTCTGATGGCGTTTTTGTTAGCCATTTACTTGTATTTTTATACCAAATCCGCCTCACATAGCCTTATCCTTCTCCTTCGACGTATTCTCCATCGTCATCTCCTCGGACGCCGACCAGAACCGCGCTGCCTCCTTCATGCTCACCACCTCATCGGACGGCGAAGCCTCATTGCAGTCCACAAAGTACTTCCCCGTCACTCCGGCCACTGCCGGGTGCACTGCCACGTAGCACGTCGTTGCGGCCGCCTGAGGAATCGTCTTCAGAAGCTTGGACGCCATGGCGAACACCAGATCTACAATCGTTTAAATGAATCTTGAAATCAGGTTAGCAATGTACTTTTTCTTAATTCTATATATTTTCGTCGGGGAATTTAAGCAACCTGTGAGAAATCCCTCTCGATCACGGGTGAGGCGAGTTCGTACGATTCCGGGATGAACGCAATTAGCTATAACATTCGCGCCCATTTCCTAATAGAAGGTTAAATAATTATACATTGAAGAAGAGAGTTCAGTCGATTAATTTGATATTTGATCGGAGATCGAACTCTGCAACTAAATACCTCGAGCTTCTCTGCAAGTTCAATGGTATGAAGCACGTTAGCTAGCTTGGAGAGCGCGTATGTGCGAGTTGCGTCGTACTCTCTGCGAATATATTTTTTTAGATGTTTGTTTTTCTATAAAAGATGTTGAAGATCTGGAGAAAGGAAATGCAGGGTTAGTTCACATCTTCTTTCGAGTGACAAGATCAAGATAAAGGAGGCCATCTCCCGAAAACCAGGTGTAGATGCCGGAGGAGACGTTAACGATACGTCCTTCGATCCCTGTAGTCGACGCCGTCTCCACCATTTTCTCTATCAGGAGCTTCGTGAGCAGGAAGTGTCCTAGACAAAATTGGAGATGCATAGATTAATTAATCAGTTCAGTTCGCTAATATCGCAGAACGGAGGAAAATTTCACCTCTGCTTCCTCACCGAGATAGTTGGTAGCGAAGGTTATCTCGATCCCGTCCTCCGATAACTCGAAGTTGTGAGAAAATTTTCCCGCGTTGTTTCTTAAAAAAAGAATCACCAAAAATTGAATTCAATTATTGTTTGAATCGAAGAGGAGAGAAGCAGAAGAAGAATTATACCTACATGAGGAGATTGAGGGGAAGATGGAGACCGAGGAAACGAGAGACGAAGGATCGTACGGATGAAAGAGAGCTGAGGTCTAAGGGGAGCACGATTATCTCTGATTCCGGCAATTCGCCGGCGATACGTGACTTGGTCTCCAGCGCCGCCTTGAGATTCCGCGCCGGCAGCACTAACCTAGCCCCGCGCATCGCCAAGACGCGGGCCGTTTCCTCCCCGATCCCCGACGTCGCTCCTGCCATCATCGCCCTTACAAAGTAGTTAGAATTCCGTTGCTACAAATCGCAATCTGTTTCCGACAAACAAACAAAAGATAAATAGATGGATTCCAAGATTTTACCAGTGATGATGGCGGTGATGGCGTGGAGGTCCGGCGAGGTCTTGGTGACGTCCTCAGCCGTCGATTTGGAACCGTAGCCACTGGCGCCGGCACGGCCAAGTAGGTATCTGATCGTCTCCTGCATTTCGCTTATTTTCTCTCTTTTAAAAAACAAAGCGCCGGCAGCATTTATAGAAGAGACCGAGAGGCGAGGGAGAGGAGGGGGGGAGGAGAGAGAGAAAGCGCATAATTACGGTGAGGGGAAACTTACACAGAGGTTTTGACGCGGAACATTGGGAGAGGGAAAGGGATAAGTTAGCTAATCCCCATTTCCATGTCCTTTTCGCTCGCAGACAATGGGGATTGGGGAAGTGAAGATTCAAAAGTACAAGAATAAGGCTGCTTACTTATTTATTAACATTTTAAATTTTATATAATATAAAAAATATCATCAAAGATTATTCTATTTAAAAGATATTTTATATGTATTAATTTCTGTCATTTAATAATAAAATGTTAAATAAATAAATAGCAAATCTTTGTGATTCTAGTGAAGGGCTTTTTGATTGGATGAATTTTGAGTGCATGCATTTTAGAAAAAAAATAAATAAATAAATGTTGAAGTACTTTCTAAAATTCAAAGTATTTTGAGAAATTTGAAACTCCTCATCCATGACAAATTTAAGCGATTTCAATATATACCGTATTGTGCATTATTTTTCTCATTCATATTGATCTTTGTCACATATTCTCCTTCAAATTACCCTAATTCATCATATCCTCCTTCACATGGCAAAGATTCATTCAATTCCTCTCCCAACAACCTCATGTTGCATACTCTCCTCTCTTACACACCATCGATCTCAATGATGCCTCTCCCAACAAGCTCTTGTCGCTTCATCTTCTCCATCACACACTATCGATCCAATCAACTTATTGCGAGCTTGCATCTCATATTGTCCTCCCTTACAAGCTAATGGAAATTGTCGACACATATTTTTTCAGACTCCTGGAGCTTCGACGTCCGAAAATAGGGGGGGCAACTAATATATCATCAAAAAATTATCTTGATCGTCTCGGAAATACGAATCTCGAGGCAAAAAACTAAGTTGGAGACTTCAAAAATTAAACCTGGGATCATCTGAACTCCGATTTCAGCAAACTTATAGTCAAAATGAGTGTCTCAAAAATACGAACCCAACGACACCAAATTCGACTGAATATGAGCCCAAATGAGTTCAAATCAAGGACCCAAAGCGATGTTGGAAGGTTTGAACCACAATTTGGATTACCAAACGATTTCCGAACATGACGTGCTTATAGTTGAATCGAGCAGCTCGACAAGATGAATCCAACGAGCCAAAGATCGCTGAATTCCGACACCAATAAGACCTTCAAATGTCTAACGAACTGTCCATGATCAAGGAATTCAATATCGACCATCCATCGAACCACTCCACATTTGCCCTTGATCTCTCACCTATTTACGGGACATGCCACTCCATAAATCTATAAATAGACTCCTCATTTCTCTTGAGAGAGGACCAAAGCAAGAAAAGAAAAAAGAAGAGAAGAGAAGGAGGATAGAAGGGAAGAAACTCCTCCTCAACCACCGCCGTCGAAATTCTACCCAAGTGAAGCTGAAATTCTGATTTGTACCTAACACTTGATTCCTAATTTTTTTAATGTAAAGTATTTTAGTGACATTATTAAACTATTTTTAGATTATTTTCATCAATGTGGTGCATGAAAACTAACCTTTCTCATCTTTGACAAAAATTACATGTTTAACATGATTTCTATAGACGCTTATGACCTCCCCCTCTATGCCCTACGGTAATGACCCCTCTAGCATTACGACCTTTACCACAACGATGCTGTCCATAGATCAAATTATTTCGTGGATTGGATTTCACTTGACTGTCTACGGCTCCATTGCATGTGCTCGGGGTAGAAGTTTTGTATAAATGTATTGCCTTGTTATTAAGTCTTTTGCTTTAAGTTCTTTTCTCTATAAGAGGTGGGATAGAATAACCCGGTTGAAGCGTAATGATCATACGTCTGTAATGCATTGTATGTCCCATCCTTCCACGAGACATCAGAATTTTGCCCAAGTGACGCCGGAATTCCACCCGACCTGGCCTCCAAGTGACACTGGAATTTCGCCCGAAGTCCAAGCGACGCCGGGATTTCTCTCGAACTCCAAGTGACATCAAAGTCCTGCCCGAATACCATCTAACACCGGAGTTATCCTCAGCCGCCAACTGACGTTGGATTTCTACCTGACATCGGACCTCGGCTCGTGGCTAAGTTGCTACTCGACGCCAGACTTCTGCATGTTGTCAGATTTTCACTGTACATCTATCCGATGTTGGGTTTCTATCCATTATTGGACTTCTACTTGAAACAGTCTTTCTAACATCCGTCGCTCGCTGACTATGATCCTTCTGACCTCTGTCGCTCGTCGACTACAATCCTTCTGACTTATGTGGCCTACCGATTACAGTCCTTCCGACCAACGTCGCCCGTCGACTACGATCCTCTTGACTTACGTCGCCCACCGACTACAGTCCTTCCGACCTTCATCGCCCGCCGACTATGGTCCTCCTGACTTAAGTCGCCTACTAACTATAGTCCTTCCGACCTTCGTCGCCCGCCGTCTACAATCCTCCTAACTTAAGTCTCCCACCAGTTGACTATAGTCATTTCGACCTCTGTTCCCAGATAAAAGGTCTTTATGACCTCTGTCGCCCGCCAACTACGATTCTTCTGACCTCCATCACTAGACTATGGTCCTTTTGACCAAACAAACACGTCAACAGTGATTCTTTGTATTCCTACCAAGTAATGTACTATATATGATGTACATCAAGCCAATGCAAGGGAAGGGCCTAATTTGTAATCAAATGCAATATTAGTGGATTCATTCAAACTGGGATAGGCCCCGTGGTTTTTTCCCCTTTTTCAAGGGTTCTCCACGTAAAAATATTGGTGTCTCATATGAATGCTACACCCTCTCTCTTATATAATTGCGTGCAGGATTTTCATACAAACGCTAAAACGTTAAACTTTATATTTCTCTACCGCTGCGAATACTTCAGGATGCAACAATAGTAAAGATATTTTTAGATCCATATTCTCTCTCTCTCTCTCTCTCTCTCTCTCTCTCTCTCTCTCTCTCTCTCTCTCTCTCTTGTTACAGCCTAGACTTCCAACTAAGAGGTCTTGAATTTCAATTTTTGTGCATGTGTTGTGTGTGAGTTTTCGTTACATGGCCTAAACGTATAAAAAAAAAAAAAAAACTCGTTTACACCAGTTGGCGCAGGGCAATTTAGCGGCCACATGGTGCCAAACTATTGGATATGTCGGTCGCGTAGACTGTCGGGGCAGTGGCCACCACGGACAGAACGGGACCACGTTGAAGGGTTGCAAGCCCCGCGAGCCACGCATTCAGTCGCGATCCTTGGTCCCAATCTGGTCTTATGCGTTGTAGACGCATTTATATAGCATGCTCACAAATGAACGTAATCCAACACCAATATAACTTTTTGAATTAAATTTAAGGCCAATCCAAATTAGAGGTGTAAATAAAAACCACAGCCTATCAATCTGATCTGAAAAAATTGGGTTCGAATTGACCCGTTGATTTGATAAATGAGTTGGGTTAGGGTTGAGTTTTTTTAACCGATTTATTAAACGGGAATATGTTCGGATTGACCTGCGAATCCGTTTTTTATTAAAAAATGACCCGTTTAATATATTTTCCCCTTAAACTTGTAGGTATAACCTTCTTATTTTTAATTAAAAAATTTAAACTCTATAATTAATAAGTTATTAAAAAAATTAATAAAAACAAGATAAAATGTTAGATTCAAGTCATTTATGGTGCTAGAGGGGCAGGTTAGTGCTTTTGACCCGTTTATTAAATAGGTCATGTTTGAGTTAACTTAATTTAGTTCAGACCTGAACTCGACCAATCAACCAGTTCATGTTTCAACTAAATAAATTCAACGACACTAAAAGTAGACCGATATGAGTTCTGATGAGCTTAGTAGAAAGTTCAAAACATTAATTGGATGATAGAACGATATCCAGTTCTTGTGTTCTTGCAGTCAAATCAAACGTCTCGAAGGGACGAATCCAATGAGCTAATATCATATAATTTCAATATTATTAAGACACCTAATGTTGAAAAAATGATATATAATCAAGATATTCAATATAAGACGTCTCCTGAAATACTCCAAATTCTAACTATATTTAATTGGTATGCCACTTGCAAAAAATTATAAATACACACTCACTCTCTGCATGAAGAGAAATAATACTTTAACTTGAGACTACAAAGAGCTTTGAGTCCTAAAGTATCATGGAGCTCCAGTCTACCACTAACCGACCATGTTATGAAACAACAGTCTGATTGTCTCCATTGGAACACTTCCTAATCATTACCATCAGACCACCATCATCCAACTTCAATTATTTGATTAGAATTAATCTACTTCAGCCCTCCAGCCATCATCAAATGATTGAATATATTTTCAAGCTACACATGCTTCTACATCCGAAAATAGGGTCAAATAATGCAGCATATTTTACAACATAAATATGATAGTTCATTTTGTATTGGAAATTTTAAAATAAATTTAGGATCATCCAAACTTCAACTTTAGCAAAATTATAATTAAACCGAACTTCTCTACAAGATGAATCCAACAACAAAAAAAGCGTTCAAAACTTGGTCTAATTGGACCCAAATCAAACAACTACAATATATTTAAGAACTTTAATGCATCTAAGTTGGTTCAAAGACGTGCTTACATTTTTTTATACTTGATACTATTTATTTTTTAATTACAAGCCAATAACATAATTATCTTTAGCGCATCGACTGACGTCATGACTAATTATATAATCATAAAAATATTATTAGCCACATATTATATTTGTATAACATTGTTATATAAATGATTTGGTCTACTTAACGAATTAATCTATATATGGATAAGATATGATAAGTATGGATCGGATTAATAAAAAAAGGATTAAAATTGTTGTAGTGCTTTGCTGGTTGTGGTGAGTTGATCCTTTTATTGTGCATTCATTGCAATTAGAATTTGTATTTTATTAGCTTAATAATTTATTAATAAATAATTAATTAGGATATTAATATATAATTAGTATTTTATTAGTTAAATAATTTACTTAATAATAATTAACTATTTGGAATATTAATATATAATAAGTATGATTTGATTATTATAATTATGTGATATGTAATAATTTTGTTGTTCATAATCATTATTAAAATCTTATTAGAGCTAACAGAGTTTAAATATTAAAATAAGCATCCAAACAGTTTATTAAGATTTAAACAGATTTAACTTATATAATATTAAAAAAAAATCAGAATTTAACACACTCAAATTTAATAAATCCAAATTTGTAGGATTTACTAAATCTTGCTTAGTTATATCATAACCATTATTGTT